TCAAGAAAGAAGCCATCCGCCGAGGGATTTCCATATTTATAATATAAGCGTATTTAGATATCTAAATTAGTTGTAAGATTATTGTGAAAGGTGGATAGATGAAACTTGTGTTTCCATCTATTTTCCTTGGGTCTCCACTTGCAGCAACCTCCACGTGGTGAGATCCGGGCAATTGGTATTATCTTCGGTATAGTATTGTAAACTGAGGGTAATACCGAGCTAATGGCTGCGAACGTAAAATTAATTTCTCTAGTTAGACGAATAAATGTAAGATCGAATATTTTTGGAAAATGTTCTATCGTACATGAAACTTAGATTATTTTAAGACTAAATGTAAGGTAGAAAATCTTTGTTAATTGTATGAATACGTGAAGCTGAATAATAAAGTGCAAGGAGTCACGTATATATTCGACTATTTTAATACATTCATACCTTACAATTGAAATAAAGCTGAAGTAATATCCTGTAGATGATTGGCTAGTACAGCTCTTGTTTGATCGAATTTTAAGTATTTACTTATTCGCAATAAATAAAATTATTCTAAATAAATGATGTGTGAATAAAGTTGTATATAAAGATTCACCAATTGCCAAAGGTAATTGATTGTGCGTATTAGGATTCCTATATAAAGTTATACAATTGTATACAGATTGAATTTTTTAATTATTTCATATGGATATGTAATATTTATAGGAATAATCATTTGAAACTCTATTAGTGGTTTAGTTTTACTTTGTAGTATTTTAATAAGTTATGTATTATCACACTCTAGACACATTTTTGTAAATAGGTACTCATCTCATTTATAAACTACATATCAATTTTTAGCTTTTTGCAGCTTTTCAATTCTTTGATTAACCACCTTAAAGATATTTATCATTCTTATGCCCAGAGAGGTTATGACTAACGTAGACATTGTTATCAGTTTGTCTGTTTAGACAACTTATAACGAACAATTGAACAGTATGTATATCCAGCCCACCCTGTATATAGCTACGTCGAATACGTAGGCTACGTGATTAGAGCTCGCTTAATGTAGTTTAGCCCTCTATAATCACGAACACTGCAATAAACGAGCTTCCATTACAGACGAGATATAAGAATAGACCTAATATGCAATGTACTTTTCTGTAAATTAAAATCTCTCTAAATAACAATAAAAAAATTCAAACATTCTATTAAGTTTGCTCCATTAAAATAAATTAACTATTATATAAAACATTTTTTCGTATTTGCCATAGTAAGATTAATATAATAGCATATATGTATACCTTTATACCGGCCGGGTGAGAAAAGCAGAACATTCTTCCTTGCTAGCGAAACCGGGGCAATAATGTTGTGCGTATCGCTATATGCAGTCACGAGTTGGGTGCTATGCGTTATCATGGTGTCCACTGTAGTTCCTAAAGTCGAAAACTTTTATGTAGAGTGCGCTCGAATCAGCGTGATTTTTGTAGGACACCAAGTCCCATAAGATGTTAAAATACGATTGTTTCTTGATTTGTACTTTGACACACGAAAAAGATATAGTCATCAGTTAGTCGATAAAAGTTAATTGTATAAAAAGTTAGTCTGTTTGTATTCTCCAAAATTTACTCTTATTCGATTTTTGCACAGAGACGTATTGAATTTTAAATACAGTCGTTTAACAACTTTTCTAGTAAATTCATTTTTTTATTTTTTGTATACTCGATAAAAATATCTGACACTTTCTTATCCTTTATGTCTACTAACCCCTTCTTTTTCAACTTTTAATCCAAGGGATCACTTTTTGTTTCAGGTTATTTGTAAAAATTTTGTACACTGAATCTCTGTTTGCCAAAATGAAGAGTCAACAATCTCAAGAAATTTGATATTATGTTTCTAATCGTTTTAATTTCTGTTTCTGGAATCCTCGTGGGATCAAATTTTAAATTATTGAATTCAAATGTTGATAAAAATGTATTGTTATATTCTTCTATTCTTATTGTACGTTATATATGTTTCTCTTCAATTTCTGTTTCAGGAATCCTCGTGGGATCAAATTTTAAATTATTGAATTCAAATGTTGATAAAAACGTATTGTTATATTCTTCTATTCTTATTGTACGTTATATATGTTTCTCTTCAATTTCTGTTTCAGAAAGAATCCTAGGATCGAATTAATGCTCGCTAAATTATTCTAAATTATTAACTGTCCACTGATATGATATTATTCACTGAGTTTCTCTTTCAGGGATCATTCTAGAATCAATCTACAAGTTCATCTGAATGAATTATTTATAATCTGTAAAACGTTTTGTTATGATCCTCCCAGTTTCTGTTTCAGAAGACATCATATGAAGATTTCTCTTCACCCGAAGATCATTTTATGAAGATTTCTCATCAC